CGTTATTTCTATTGTCCAAGTCATCGACTAGCCTCCCCTCTTGTTCAATCCACACCCCGGCGTGAAAACAGCATATCACGGGAGGCGGTGGGCTGGCATACGTGACATGTGACCTAGCCATCGCAGACTGGTGGGTGCTGAGCGGTTCACCCAGTATTCCTGCATCAAATAGGAGATGCTAAATACCACCAATACTTACGCGGTGATTTTACCGGACATGAGCTAACCAGTAAAATCAGCGATGTTCGGACGTAATTAGCCTCTTTCGGTAGGTTGTTCTGCTAGTCCAGGTTTCGCAATCGCACAGGATTGGAAGGACGGCCACGTGGTAAACCCTGCTCTTCAGAGCAAGAGTTACGTTGCGCCGTTGCCAAATGCAACGAATATTAGCAAAAGTGGTTCGGGCTTTTGCTATGCGGTTTGTGGTCTCATCTTCAATTCCAATGACGCTGATATCGCTGCCTATAAACTTAGATTTCTCGATGACTTCTTTTTGATCATTACCAACGGTCAGCGAAGAGGTGGGTCCCTGCCAATCTTGGGGAACGACTTTGTATTTCGACGGTGCAAAGCATAGCCCGAAACGATCATCAGCCAATGCAGATGTGTCCAGTGATACTCGGTACGTTTGAGAGCCGTCATAGATTAGGGTAATGTCGTCAGCGTACTCCAATTCAAGCAGTCTCTCAACAGGAAGCAGCTCCACACCTTCCCAGTAGAGTCGGGTGAACGAAGTTTCCAAGACTTCGTCGATGGTGTAGTAAAAATGGAAAGCTAATAACGGTCATCCTTGTCTCAGAGCGCTGGAGATATTGAACGGCGGCGACAGTTCACCATAACCTCCCAATCTGTTGGAGCTAAGCGTGTAAAGCGTACTTACAGCATGTACATATTTCGCGGACACACCTTTCCGACCAAACAGTCCCAAAAATACTGATCCACCGAATAGAAGACATCCGGTGGGTCGCCAATCAATAAAGCGTTGCTTAGACAATTGAGGAAAATGCGGTCAACACGGCCTCGATTAGGATGAAACCCGGCTTGATTTTTGCGAATTTGGCTTTCACCTGTGTCAGTCAGTTTATCCAGGGCGATAGGGGGCGATTAAGTTATAGGCAAATGAGATCAGACAGATCCATCTGAACATGAGGCTGCTTTGAAAATTGGGACTATTACAGAGTGGAACCAGTCTGTTACTACAATCTCCTGCTACCACCGCTCCACTAATAAGTCGTGCAAAGCATCCACAAGAGATGGTCCCCCAAAGTTCAAGAGGACTGGAGGAGATTCATCCGCTCCGGCAGGTTGATTCTACTTCAACAGTCTGATCTCCGTTAGACTTCTGTGCGTGAGATCGGTGCAAGGGGAAAGGCCTATGAAGAAAGGCAATCAATGCCCGAAAGGGAAGATGGTAACTCTGACTGATACTAGTACATTTCAAAGTTTCAGTTAAACATTTCCCTTCACAAATTGCAATATAGCAAAAGGAAATCGCAATGTTACATAATATACTGAAATCAATAATTTCGCATATTGTCCTCAGCCGTTCACATAAAATTGGTGTAATGAACAGGTTGCATATTTACAGGGAGTCAAGGTGCAATGTTGTCAGAGCAATTTAAGGCGGCCGAAAGCCGTTGAGTTCACGTGACCCGGTCAGAGGGAAAGCTGTCATCAACCTCATCAGGGTAGAACGAGGCGGGTCTCGAAATCCGTCTGTTTGCACAAACTTGGTTTCGACCGCTGAATCGCCGACGCTTCAGCGTACAGAAAGAGGCGAGAGTTGCTTTTCTTAATTAACGTAAAGCCTCCAAGTGCGCTTTGGTACGAAGGGAAATTAAGTATGTGGCAGGCAATAAAGTATGTGGGTAGCTGTGGGCCATTTGCAACCAAGTTAAGATGAGGGGAGGGGGCGCTGTAACTCTGGCTGACAGCCTTCTATCGCTTTAGGCAACGTACTTACTACTGCAAGTATGGTTAGTGGTAGATGCATGAAGTGATAACTTAAGAGTCCGGTCTGTCTACACAGTATCCTTCTGATTTGGCGTAATACTACTAGCTCAACTGCGAAATAGTAATTCTCAATACATTGGCGGAGACGGTACAGATATCGGTCATTTTGATCCCCTTGTAGACGGTGGCGTAATGAACACCTTTTCCTTTTAACATCTGTTAATGGTTTATCTTCAGGCTGTGTCGTGCTATGAATCGCTCTGAATATCCAATCTCTTGTGGTGTCGAAGCGACGCGTTCCAGTTCACGGAAGAAAAATGTGACGAGCTCAAATTCTAAAGCTCATTCACTGGATAGCGACTAATAAAGTTGAGGTAGTGTCTATTCCATGTTGGTTTTCTGTGCACTTATCAGACGAATGAACCATCCGGCTTTCTGTGTTAGTAACATCTAAGAAATGGTAGGATCCATCGGGGTCTTTAGCGTCGTGAACTTGATCGCGGGACGGCAAACATGCATCATTTCCAGTAAGTATGCCGCCTGTTGAAGAGCGTCAGCGACAACGAATGTGTCGTTCATATATCGGCCATAAAACTGTACATTTTGTATAAGTTCACGATGGAAAAGGAATCCGATGGGTCATTCCATTACTTAGATGTCAACTTAGAGAGAAAGCCAGACGGTGCACTCGTTCGATGTGTGTACAGAAAACCAAGATGGGCGGCGCAATACCGCAACCTCAATAGGTTTGGACGTATCCATTAAGAGGCTAACCGATGGTACACTTCAGTTACATGGTGTGGGCAACACCTCCATTGTTCTAGCTTTGCTGTACTTGCAAACAAATGCGGTCTTGTGAAAACTCTGTTCTACAGAGCCAGACGCATTTGTAGCACTGAGACAGATAATAAGTTTAAAAGGAGTGCTTACATAAGGGTTTGCTGCCTAATGGGTATCCGGAAACATTTATCCGGATCCACAGAAGACCGTCCGAAATGAAGCTGCCGGGGCACACGGCAGAGAAAAGGGATGTTTATTTGTGCGTGTTATTCGAAGGCGACCATATGGCAAAGGACATTGGGCACAAGCTCAGGTCTGTCTTGAAGCGCACTTACATAACCGTCCAGTTGCAACCCATACACACGAAGGCTAGTGCCACACTACCATTCGTGCAGTCTGTCGGACAGTCTGGCCTCTCAGATTAACTACCAGTTCGCCTGTAACTGCGTTGATATTTACATTGACCGTCGACTGGCTCAAAGGGCCGCCGAACACCTTACAGGTTTGTTAAGACAGTCCATGTCATAACAAGGCTGTGGATCAAGTGGCAAAGCAGAACTCTGCATCGTCTACCCCACAAAGCACTTCCTGGTGAACAGAGACACATCGAGCGGTTTGAAAATAATCCTGCGTGACAGCAATCCGAAACGGCTGGAAATCGGCGAGGCGCTGTTGATCACTAAGAATCGTTCAGCACCTTGTGCACAAACGTAACCGAGGCAATAAGTTAGATTGCCGTGTTGCTGATTAATCCACTGTTATTTTCACAAACGTTTGTGCAGTCGGTTAATTCTTGTATGTATTGCGTCCGCAACTGAGGAGAAGGATTGAAATGTTAACATCTCGCGAAATTTGTCTTCTTTCTGCGTTGATGACTTAGGAATTCGCACGCCAGTGACGTTATGGCGAGTATCGGTCAATTCGGTCACTTTGACCTTGCCCATAAGGCATCAGCAATACGACGGTACGCAGTACAGACGTTTCGCTACCACGCAACCACCACCAGTCGCATGTGGACTAAGAATATTGAGAGGGTCGCCCGACTCCCACACAAGCTCGATCTCACACCCTCAAATTACAATGCAGGCTTGTAATAATAAATAATAATAATGTGTCAGCTGTACGCCATAACGGCGCTTCGCTGCCGCGCGACCATTACCAGTCGCGCGCAGTCTGAGTATACCGCGAGGACGCCCACCCCTACGCGGATTCGAACCGGTGACCTTATGGTTGCAAGCCAAACGTGCAGACCACTCGGCCACCGGCCGACAGGCTTGTAATCTTGTAGGTCACGGCCCGGCATTTATAACACCTTATATTACAAAGTACATGCAAAATATAACAAAGTAGTGAAACGTCTTCGGAGTAAAACAGCTGTACACTTTCATAAAGTACACGAATACTGGCGATGTTGTGGGGAAAGTTTTAGTTAAATGTTCAGTGTCGTGAAGCAAGCTTTTGGTAGCTCCTTGCAGATATGGCTGTTGGCCAAACCCAGAAATATACTCAAAAATGACGGTAAGGTATTTGCGCTATTACATTGTTTTACGGTACTGAGGTAAAATGGGAGTTATTTTTCGACCACGTATACCGAGTAAGAGCAAAAGTAACAATTCTCTAGAGCATTGTGAATGTAGTATTAGACATGTGATTTAAAGATACCTCCAATGCTACGCTAGTTCACAAAGTACAAGTGAAAGCTGATAATAGGAGAAAAGCCGAGCTTGTACACTTGTAGAAATTGCTGAACACTCATGGTCATAAAATGGCAATACATTCCCCCATTAGTAAGGGACTTTGATTACAATGCGTCTAAGTAACCTGCAAAATATCCAATAAGGACAGAAAATTGCGCCGAAATTTTGTTCACAGAATGGAGCATTTGATCGCTACCCCCAAGAGATGCTGTGGCCAACTGCAGCTGCTGTTTGCCTTAGCAAATGCGCTCTAGAAGGAAATGTCCTTTGTGTAGACACTGAAGCCCACAGGAAGCAATTAGTAAATGGTTTGGGCTAAGCGGATTTCTTTTCACCATGAATTACCAATTAGGAGGATCTCTGTGTAGCTGCATGTAAGGACATCAGCAGTACGCCAGTATGCAGTATCGACGCTTCGCTGCCGCACAACCGCCATCGGCCGCACATGGGCTAAGGATATTACAAGGATCGCCCGGTCCATAATCAGGCTCGAACCCGCACCGTCAGATCAATGAGACAAGCTTGTCACCATTAGGCTACGGGTCAGTTGCATGTAAAATCCTTCAGGTATACTGCCCGATTGGGTTGGCAATCATTTCCGATATTTCATATCAGCAAAGTGTTTGTCAAGAAACTTTCTAAATCACGACACTGGTTTTGTTTCGAATACGTGTGGTGGCAAGCCGTTTCATATATTCTCCACTCCGAGTTCGAAGCAGAGTTGGTGAGAGACCCGCTTCAAAGCCGGTACCACAAGCTTGTACCGGTGTCCTTGTGTGTTGCTTGGTGTGCACGCGTCTGCTCCGGCGCGGTCAAAGTACGATAGACAAAGTCAAATGCACAGATCCCTAGTCTATCAGCAAGGGGTATAGATGCAAAGGTGAGATCTCATGAGGCATGTCAAAAATACACCGGGCAAAACTGGTACAAGCAGTTGTGTAAATGTTCAAAGATGCTGAGGACGCGCGTTTTGCGTAACGCAACTGAGGTCGCTCGGTGGAAGTGAAGCCTCAATAGTCACAAGATGGAGGGAGGTGCGTGCGACACTGCCGGTGCACAACCTGAGGTTTATCACAAAATACCCTGAACTTGCCAGTTGGTACACTACAAAATTACACGTGAAAAGCAGACCAACCGCATATTATTCATTAAACACGTTAGCTAGAGGTGAAAAAATACCTCAGCTATTGTGCCGCAACACATGAAAGAAAAAAGGAAAAAACGCGCAACAGTTACATACCAGCTGAGATACCAGCAACGGATGGGTATCATTCCGGAAAACTACCAATCGGCTACTATGCAGCAAAAAATTTATTATGCAATACTATATTAGGCTAAGAAGTGAGATCGTGGTTGGAGTGGGAGTTTAAGAGGGATGGGTAGGGACAAAAATATTCACAGCACGAGTGCCATTGAGGTCGGCTCCTAGCCATGTCAACAACTGTATCCAGCCAAATGTGTCCATCGGCTTTCGGACCACAATCAGAGGACCCAGACGCTCCAACCGAGGCCAAATTCGAAATAAGCGCCTTCATTTGTTTCGACCAACCCATCGCTTGGCCACACGTCCACCTACACTCCCGGCGCGCAAACAACGCACCTCGCGGGAGCCGGTGGGCTGGTATGCGTAACACGTGGCCGAGCCATGGGAGCCTGGTACGTGAAATAACGGTGCCGTAAATAAGGCGTCGAACACGCTCGTTGCTCACGCGGTGTTCCCACCAGATGTCAGGCAAAATGCAAAGGCACCGGTGGTCGAACGTAACTAGCCTCTTCTTTCCCTGGTACGAGTGGCTCTGAAGGTGCAACGAAGTACCACCCAGCATAGCTCGATGGATCTCTGAGGCACGTAAGCTAGCGCAAAACGGTAAGGCCCAGCCTCAATGCAATAGACCATCCGCATAGGCAATGACTAGAATCGGATGGGAGCAGCTGTTGGTTACACAACGGAAAGAACTAGCCTAAGCGCCATAAAGTGGACCAATTAATAATATGGACTAAAAACGAAGTCGAAAGAGTCGTCGCGACTACTAGACAGCTAACCTGTTCTACACCAAGATCCACGCCCGAAGGGCTCGCACCATTCCAGTCAGACTGAGAGGCCCCGATGACGAGTGCTGCACAAATTGCCTCATCCGGACTGAATTGGTGCAGAAACGACGAGAGGAAGAGTGCATTGGGTCCCGTCGCCTCTCCGGTTGATGCGTCCACCTGCGGGGCGAGCAAACGAAGGGGACTACCGACATAAGAATCCAGTAAACCGTCTGCTGTTATGCAATTGTTGAGGGAGCGCGAGGATATTTCCCGTGTCAAATAATTTTTCAACCGAACCAACGGGCTGGGAAGGCGAAAGTGAACAAGGCCCTGGGCGGAGATGAGCAACAGACGGCGATATGCTGGATCAAGATGCTGCGTTAGAACGACGGGAGGCTCTCCACGAAGTCGGCAAGTGAGATCAGAAGTTTTGCCACTGTGAAAAGTGAGAGGTAAAAGGTAGCTTCGAAGAAACACAGAAAGGTGCACTGTCAGTAGAACATGGTGAAATAAAGAAAATTGCGATGCCGACAGAAGACTTCCAGGTAAAGCAACTAAAGCGACAAAATCACACACCAAAAAATAAAAAGTGCACACAAAAGACGGTAAGATGTGCAGAGTAAACGAGATATGCGTAAGAGCGTGTGTAACGCGGAGGTGGTGGACTGGGATTGCAGCCGACAGAGCAAAAATGATGGAAAAGACAAAATGAAGAAGATGCTCATTTGAAGAGTAGTAGCGATCGATAAATAAAAGGGTCACAATGGCCACAATGGCACGGTCGAGATGAAACACAGAGATAACAAGCCAGAAGCGAAAGCCAAGCGTATGATTAAGGAGGGAATTAGAAAGATGAGACGTAAAGAACAAAGCGATGAACGATTGGACAACATTGCATGCGTGGTGTAAATGGAGTTCTCTCGTTCCGATGGACCTGTGCAGAAATCGTCAAAGCACGTTTACTCGAAAGAAAACATTATAACAAGTATGGAGAGCATTAAAATGGATTGGTGGCAGCTTGGAAAAAGTAAATTAAAAAAGGCTGAACCAAGTTTGAAAATATGCAGAGGACTTCATTTGGAAACAAGATGGCAAACCCTAAATGAGAATTGTTCGGTAGGAAGCAAAACCTCTCGGGGAAACCCGTTGTTTCCATGAGAAGATTTTAGCTACTAAGGTTTAGTAGAAGCTCAAGTGGTATCACGAACATACAAGTATGGCATGCGACATAGGTACTTAAATCCTCATTAGCAGGAGAGGGTAAAAACACTGTAAACCCTTGCAGTGACTTGATTGTTTCAGTATATCATTTGTTCACAACTCTGAAAGCAAGCAACTGTGTTGGCAGAACCGTAGGGGCAATGAAACGGGAAAAATTTCCCCATCAAAATGAAAACGGGGTAAAAAATAGGGATAGACTGAAGGCCTGATTGGTTCACCGACTTGATCGGTTTGAATGGAAGCGTTTCGCTACCAATTGAAGTGGCATCTTTAGTGCGTAATGGCAAGTAGCTTGTTAGCAGGTAAAAAACTTCGAGCAAACTTCACGCAACTCAACATCAGTGCAACGGATAATGCGCGAACCATCAAAGTAGCACTTTGCCACCACGCACAGAAAAACTTTATTGAAAACGTTGTGCGCTACAGGAGATATCGCAAACGAAAAGCTGTGACGACAGCCAGGAAGCTTTCATTTGAGCATACTCGTGTCAGAAGCGTGCAAAGAGATTGTAGTCTGCCTCAACGCTTAGTAGAGGGGAATAGCAAAAAGTCGACTATGTTGCACTAGGGATTTGATTTAAGATAAAAGAGTGAATTGTCATAGGATCTGGAATTTATCTATACCCGCGGGGGTGGATAAATCCCAAAATTATACATATTATGCCTACACCGATAAGTAACTAGGAACGAACCGCGTTCAGCATTGATGCCATCCACTCTGATTACACTCAAGCAACTCAACATACAATGTAGTCAGCAATTCGAGTCAGTTCAGTAAAACAGCTAGGAGCCGGGTATCGAAGTGCGGTGTATGTAGTTACTACGACTCAGGTCGATAGAACAACAACAACCAAGCACGACAAGAAGATGAGGCTTAATGCAAATAGAATAGAAAAGGAGGCAAGAAAGTGTGTTAAGCTAATCGGGATGGAATGAATATTAACAACTAGATGTGAGGAAGCGAATGAAGGAGCGCCACCGATTGTACGGTTGCACCATGTCTGAGACGGTTCCCAAACACTGCTGTGGAGCATACCTGGCCCCATTCAGGAAGACGGCACGCACCAGCCTAATCAACCGCTCAGCCAGTTTCTTCATGCCTTTAAACCAGTCCATCGACCGAGTACTTCGGGATTTCGCCCAACTTGGTGCAGCAACGGCATATAATGCATGCCGAGGGAACCGGTCAACAGGCAGACGGAGGACATGGCCTAGCCAACGTAAGTGTTTAAGATTCAGCAAATACTCGAGTGAGGCACCAGAAAACCAGCTGCCAGAAGTCAGTATTGCTCACCCGATGGTCAAACACGCCCAAGCGTAGTGTATTTATTGTGAACTGGCCAGGTCTCTGATTCACACAGTAACACTGGCCTAACCGCAGCTTTATACATCCTACGTTTCGCTGACAAACGAATACCCCGCTGTGTCCATCGATGATTGAGTCTCTAGAAAGACACACGAGCCTTGCTGATACGCGAAGTAACTCAGTCATGTGACCACCAGAGGTGACACAGCCACCAAGGCAAGTGAACCGATCTACCACTTCCAGTGGCTGTTCGATGATAGCTAGAACCGAAAGTGTGTCGGTCCAGTCCTACAGCAGTACTTTGCATTTTGGAGGTGCAAAGCACATGCCGAAGCGTGCGCCGCTACGCGCCAGTCTACCCAGTAGCGTTCGTATAGTCACTGCGTCAAGAAGAATTGTCGTCCCATGGTAAAACCCACTCCGGAAGTATCTGAAAGAATCGAGTCATTCATGATAATTTTGATCACGAAATTGAAGGGGAGAATACAGGATTATAAAGGTAGGTTGCACACAGAGGAGGCATCAGCAGCACATCAATACGTGGTAGGCATAGTTCGCTAACATGTGATGACAGGCAGTTGAATGCCGGACAGGTTACTATTATGGCGCCAAAACCAAACATTTAATTTGAGGGATTTTTGGATGCAGGGCAACAGTAGACCAACGCACACACACAGGATAAATGAAGGGTAGTTGGATGCACGCACGATTTCTAATTTCGTTAAATTCCAAACCATATATACTACTCATGTTAAGAGAGTACTGTACTGTTGTACGGTTGCGAGAGGGCCTACTTCGATTGTCTTCGAGAACCGATGCTTGCGGTCCATCGCCCGTGTGTGATGGCTGAACCACGCAATGAAGGCGGAAGTCAGACAGCGTGTCTTGGGTGGAGACAGCCACTCCCCCGAGGCGCTTGTCTCGCTGCGTCAACTACGATGGCTAGGACATGTACTGCGTCTTCCGCGTCATGCCTTGTTCGCGGTCACTGAAGAGGGCTGCAGGAGGTAGTACAGTTGGTTGGAAACGTTGGAATCAATGTCTCGAAACCGAACTCAGTGGCGGACGTGCACTTATGCTTGTTGTGGTGATTACCCTTCCCTTTCCCCCAAAAAACATTCAAAAAACTCAAAGGATGAGCGGAAAATGGCCAAAAGTTGTATTTTCTTTCTTTTTTTACTCTAACCCCGTCTTCCTATTCCGCCATGGTTCCGATGGTACCATATCTGTACACAGACTGTTCTATATATATTGGTTGGCAGCATCCGCTTCCGGAGTTGCCTGTCACTGTGGCCTCCATACGACAGCCACAGGATGCTTGCGCCTACGGATGGACCATGAGTGGCTTGCGCTGCAACACCCACAGTTCCAACCACACATGCGCATGGCAGCCACGTTTCATCAACAGAGCCCGCTCACACTCCTTCAACAAGCAAAACAGAAGCATTCCGGCCTAATTGGGAAATCATGCACACCAGACGTACACATGGGGGTGTGTGGACCGTATCCCGTTCCACACAGGATGGGACTTCTCTTTGAGTCGAGTACCGTCACGAGGACGGTGCACTCCGTCCCCTCCAGCAACGACCAACTGTCTCCTGGAGCCAGTATGGACGAGGTAGTGGATAATAGACAGGTAGGCACCTTGTCAACATTCACATCAGGCGCAGCCACACCGGGGAGCTCAAACAACATCTACTTCTGAAATGCAAGACTACTCATCACGCAGGCAAACGTACCACATACGCCGCCTTATTGGCCTGGATTAGTAAATCGAATGGGAGCGTGCGCATCGTGTTTCTATTCCGCGTGCAATAGTGCCTTCTCCTGCACCTGGGCAACCGGCCTCTTGATCAGGCTAGGGAATTCGCACCGATCAACTTTGTCTTTGATTCGCAACACCTGAAATCAACATGAGTTTGTCATAAACCCACCTTCTTCATGTTCTGGTAATGTTATTTTCGGTTTGCCTGAGTGTCGCTTCTTTGCACTAACTTGGCTGTATAAAAGCGGTATGAGTATCCTCGTCGAAATCATTCGGTATACGTACATTCATGGATTGGCGTCATCTGTGTTCGTATACAACATATGCACACCCGCTAGTTCAGACTTAAGTATGGAACTGCCACAAACTGGATAGAGACACATGGGACCTCATGAAGAATTGTATTAACAACGTGTATGGGTATCGTTTGGAGGTTAGGCTAACAGTTAATCGCATAGCATGCGTATAAGTATCCAATACGAACTGTTGATGTTTTCTTTAACATTCAGAAGTGACAGCCTTAAATGTTGGGCAACCATATTTGAAGGAAACTGATATAGGAATAGGGAAGCATTTTGCATCAGTGCGTTTACCAGGTAGAATGATTAATAAACAAGTGGTATAGTAAAACAGTGTGTACTTAAGTGTTGCCGTCTATATGCACAGTCCGTTTTACGTAGCTGATGGGGGAGATCGCACAACATGCGAATGCGATGGAGTGTCCACTTCCGGTTCACCGTGTCGCCGATCGGTCCGGTCATCTGCTGCCAGAGGTATGTGCACATCCTAAAAGAACGATCGGTGCGCAAGCTTTGATATTGACAGGTAACATCAACTAAGTCCCGCTAGCCCCTCGTCAAACACGCGACTTTCCAAACAGTGTTCGCAATGTTTTGTAAATGTCCAAGTACTCAACCGTTTGTATATGCCGATGTGTACTCTACTGTGACCATAAGCTATTTGACAAGGATCTCCATCGTACCTCTCCGGGTGTAGCCATTTGGTGCTAAAAAACGATTATCGACATGCGCCAAATCCTTTCCGATGTAATATACTAATACAATGACGTACCATTCCCGTTGGGTTTAACATTTTACTTAGTCTATCCCACAGAGTAACCATGTGCAATGCCACTTCTGGTAGG